GTTTCAGGTTATGAATTTTGTCATTTTTTCATTTCCCCACATAAGCGTGGAGGTACTTTGCTCACATATCCTTTGTTGGACCTTGTTTCTCTAGGGGCACTTTTTAAGAGCAAGCAAAGGCGTGTGAGTACTAGGACCAATGTGTAATTATCTTGGGTCTTTGTGTCCCAGATTTCTGCTCTATTGCAATAAAAATTTTCCTGGGATAAACGCAGCAGGAGATGGTTATTTTGGTTCTTGCTTTTAGAATATATATGTCCTAAATTCTTCTGCCCTCAGTAATCTCACATTTGCAAGCTCTCTGTTTTGAGTTGTTAATTCCAGCATATGATAATATTAGAGGTATATCTGGAGATTTCATCTTTGGAGCAAGGTTTCTGGAAATGTTTTTATAAAATAATTGTGGGCATCTTAAGGAAAAGCTCATTTGTAAATGTCCTATCACATATTCTTTTCTTATAAAGATTTTTCATTTTTGTAGAAAAAGCAGGGATTTTTCCAATTTAAATTTTGCTCTTTAATCTTAGTCACTTGGATAGTATTGTTTAGGAATTTGGGTTTTATTTGCAGGCAGTATTGATCTGTATGATCCTCTCCATCTCATAAAAATTCTTTATTGTCATTCTCTTTAGGGGCCTAAGTCCTACATAGTTACTTCAGCTCTCACTCTTCTATTGCTTTCCTGAAATGGAGCTGGTGTCATACTCAGTTAAGCTTCCCGAGCACTTTCAGAGTTTCATCTCTCTGACAACCGCTTTCTAATGATGTATTTTACTTAATAAAGCTTACAAGGGTAGGAGTGTCAGTTCCGTCTTAGACCAAATAAATGGTAAACTAATAAATACTGAAAAGAATTAGAATGAAAATTAAATAACAGTTAACTGTACTATCTTCTTTAATAGTCCTTGTATATAACGCTCCCATTATATTACAAATTTCCTGTCACAGGAATACATGGCAAATAGCTTGACCTGCTGCGTGCAGTCTTGGTGGCAATTTGTTTGGCCTGCTAGAATCATGACACTAATTTGGTAGAGTGTAACTAAATTTGTTTCACTTGTCCATTGTAATTGCTCCAGATGGGACTGAGATGGCGCTTTTAAACTCAAAGGGTATGGCTGACACAGGAGTGGAAGAAGAGGGCTAGTGCCTATGGTGCTCTGCCCAGAGGCAGCCATAGCAGTAGACATACCATCTGTCTTAGGCCACTTTTGGAATCTAATTTGGGTGATGATTCAGAAGATCGCAGTTAGATGCAAAAGTTTCATATAAAGTGGTGGTCAGAGGAAAATTTTTTGTGAGAGGGGCGAATTCAGAGTACCTGAAGTTAAGCACTTAAAATGAGTCTCCCCCTAAAGATGAAACTTACAGTTACAAAATAATAAAAACTTTCCCTTCCTGATATTGTGCAGTGCCACGAAAAAGGTAACTCCAGAGGCCACACCAGCTGCAACCTGATATCGACGAATCTAAATCTTTAATGCCTTCCCCACCCCGTGTGCCGTGCGTTCCTGATATGAATCATCTCAGAGCTAGGGGGAAACCCATCCAACTTCATGGCCAGAGCTCTTGGAGTTTCTGAGGGCTGTGGGGAGTGATGACATAAGCAACTATCTTAAGAGCAGGCTGGGGATCTAGACAGCTGTTCCCACATGGTAATCAAAAAGTTTTTAATTACACCACTAGTTGTTTCATTTCGTATTCAGTTCAAGGTGGAAAGATGATGAGGCCCCAGTCGCCATTTTAATATAGTTCCAAATTTCCTACGTACTTCTTAGGACCCCATCCTGTAAAATATTCATTGTCCAATGACTATATTGAATTCAGCAAGAATCTAAGATGCTTGTTCCCTTGGCAGGAAGCACTTAGCATCTTGATGGAGCCATTTAACCTGCACCCATTTTAATATCAAATTGATTTTGTCACAGAGTTGCTCTCAGATCACAGTTCATAGTAGGCAGTTGATAAGAAATTCATTCTAGCTGACTGAGACCAGATAAACAGAGCTAGAGGGCTATGAGAAAAAGTAATTTCCAAGCATTTATCCTGGCCGTGATGCAGCTCAGGGCCTATGCAACCAAATCTGGGACAAAGTAGCATCAGTGGGAGATTTTTAGTAATGAGCATTCTTTCACTTTCAGCATTTTAGAATTGTCAGGAGCTGGGGAGCAGGTGTCTGCTTAATACAATCTCTCTTGTTACCACTATTCATTTCCCTCCAATTATGTTAATCATAGTGGCACCAAACAGCTTCTCAGCTCCGCTCTCAGCCCTGGAACTGCTAGGGTAGGACCTCTGATGAGATGGACCAGACTTGTGCTTAAAGCATGCCGCCAGTGTCGAATTTTAACACAGACAACTTTTCTACTTGGAGTCTATGCACCTTCAAATTGGAGTTGGTTTCCTTTGTATTCTGCACTGACAGCAAAAATGTCCTTGTGTACTCCGAGAGATAAGCTTCCGCCTCACCGATCTGCTAATGTCCTCTCACTGCTCTGAAAAGGCCATTTCTGGAACGAAGGAGGAAACCTCTACGTCCTGCTGAAAAAAAAGAAGCCTTGGCATCTCTCCTAGCTGTCTCAAGCACTGAAGAGTACCGGAGTCAGCTGAAATAGTGCAAGTAAACCAAGGTGGAAAAGCACAATGATAGGAAAGGGGAAAAGATGGCAAAAGCCTCAGGGGAAAAATGGAATTGGTCTGGGCTGAGCAAAGAGTACCATGATCGTTTTGACCTGTATGCGAGCAAAACAAGTCTGAAATCAGTCCATTTTACCAGTCGGGCAGTACATAAATAACTCTTTTGCCCATTCTTATTTGAACAATTTTCAGTAAAAGCATGAGTGTTTACTCCTAAAATGCAGAATTCCATGATTAAGCCGAACAGAAAGCGTATGTCTGCCTCATCTTCACTAGAGAGTCCTCAGCACAGAGCGTTCTGGGCGCAGACACGGAGATGGGATTGACCCAGGGTGTCAGACCCCACTTAGCTTCTCTTAGGGCTGATGCAGCTCTCCATCCAAACCCTGCTTCTCCGGATCTTGCGTCCACGGCCCAGCTCACTGCAACATTTGGCCGCCACCTAGTGCTGAGAAAGAAAACTAGCCAGAAGACTGCTTTTCAGGGAAAAAAGCGACTGTTTGAATCACATTCTTCTGAAAACAAACTAAGGGAGTATGTGGCTTACATTGCCAGGCAAATGGGAATGATATGTGTGTGAAGTATGGAAATAGGGCGTATTCGGGAAGAAGGTGGGAAGAAGACGGGAAGACCCAAGACCTTACATTGTAAATTTGGAGTGATTTCTTTCTGGACTGTATATTACATGAGGCAGGGTTGTCCAGCAGCCAAGTTAGGGCACCTAGAGCTGGGGGTGACCGGAATGTATCAGCTGCTGTGGTCACAGCAAGTCACTACATTTCTGTCTCTCTGTTTGGCACGTGTAGACGAAACCTAACAGCATATGTGTGCGTGTGCGTGTGCCCGGGACTCTTCAGAACCGCGGAAGTACTAAACAGAGACACTGCTGTGTCTCTGCTGGAATCTTCTAGCTGTTGCGTTCGACTCTGAAAGAGCCACTTGCTTACAGAGTGACAGTACAAGGCCACGGTTAGTTGTGAAAGCGCTAACCCAGACGGGCACGTCATCGGGCATTTTCTACATCCCTATGTCTATGTTTAATTTACATGAGGAGTGGGAATGTTTATCCAGTAAAATATCGCATACGTGTCCTTGTTTACAGTAAAGTAGTACAAACCCACAGCATTTAATGGTGATCAATAGCAAAGCTGGGCCTTTTCTCACAGCTACTCCCCGTTTTGCGCTAGCCCCCCGTAGTTTCATTCAAGTGCCTTTCTCTGCCGCGTAGTTGTCCCTGACGTCGAACAGCACCGGTGGAAAACATCTGGCGGCTGAGCGGTCCATCAGGACGAAGTGTTATCTCGGCAATAAGAGGCTGTGCGCGGACAGCGGGCCGTCCTGCGGGAAATCGGAAGCTGGGTCACAAACACACCGCTCGCGCGGCGCTGCTTCCAACCGCTTCCTCCGCTCAGAAGAGTGGGAAACGCCGCCGGACGGGAGGAAGTAAACTGTGCCGCGCTTGGCGCCGAGTCGGCAGGGGAGCACGCGTGACTCCCCCGGCGGCTCTTCTCCCCCAGCGGGCGGCTGGCCAGTTCGGCGGGGCTTTTTGGGGGACAGCCCCAGCAAA